TCTTTCCCTGTGTTCAGTCTGATCCCCAGATCTCTTATCTGTAGTTTCTATGGTACACATGATTTGCAAATGTCATTTCAGCCAAATGCTTTTTTGTCTGTTAATCCATGCAGACTAAATACATCAAAAGTTAAATATTTGGATTACAATTTTTCTGTAGCTTTGCAAGCAAAAGTTAAAAACAAACAAACAAACAAACAAACAAAAACCACCACAACCAGTGTGAATTGGACTGGAAAAGAAAAAAATGTCAAGAATTTTCTGAAGAAAGATGCTTTTCTAGTCAGCTCCATTAGTTATATGCTTGGAGTTTAATTTTTCTTGAAAAGAACTTGGATATAAGCAATCCCTTATTTACACTAGCAGGAGCTGGGGAACAAAACAAAATAAAATACAAACAAAACAAGAATACTCTTTTATATCACATCCTTTTTCTTTCCCCATGGCTGAGGGTATCAGTCTCAGTCAGATCAGCCTTGCATGAAAAATCTCCATGCTTCATGTATTCCCCAGACAGTGAGAAGAACACGATGAAAACCACTCCAAAACATTACAGGCATCTAATTCAGCATAGTGTGAGCACTCACAGCCTGTGATGCCTGGTAACTAACAGGATTCTCTAATTCTCATCCAGAATCAGCAGTTTGGGTCACTGAGAAGCTCAGGATCCTCAGGATCTGGGAGATCGTGAATGCAAACCACCCTGAGGGAAAGCATCTTAATTTTAACAGTTCTCTCTCCCACACGAGTGCTTCAGCACATCTCAGAATGACATAACCACCTAAGTGGAGAGAAGCTGCATTGTATTTCCAGGGGAAGCTTTCCCCCCCTCCCCATACAGATGTACCTAATCTCAAATGAAGCAAACTGTGATTCATTTTAAAGCTTTTCCTGCCTCTTTGAACAGAGCTGGAGGTGTAAAACTTCGAAATCAAGTAGACCTCAAAGGATTAACAGTACCCAAGAAGGACAACTGGTCCTAAAGATGAAAAGACTTGTCATAGAAGAGAAAAACCTATAAACACAAGGCTCAAAGGAAATAGTTTTCATTGGGCTCTGGACACCCCTGCCACAGCAGGGTGCTGAAGACTAGACCACAGCAAGCTTTGTAATGCTTCAGACTCACAAAGGATTTTGCCCACTTACATATTATAGACATATAAGAGCTTTTTGTCTGAAAATTTCTTCACAGAAAGGGTTGTAAAGCCCTGGAACTGGCTAGCCATGGAAATGGTGGAGTCACCATCCTTGGGGGTATATAAAAGATTTGTAGATGTTGTGCTGAGGGACGTGGTTTAGTGGTGACCTGGCAGTGCTGGGTTAACGGTTGGACTTGATGATCTTGAAGGTTTCTTCCAACCAGAACGATTCTATGATTCTACACTGAGTGGGGTCAGGTGAGGGTACTCACTGTTGGGCCCTTGGGTGGGTTATCTTGTGACTGGAACTGCACTGTGAGCCCAAAAACATACACACACACAAAAGCTGCACACTATACATTAATCAGCTGACATTACGGTTCAGCGCTGACTTTGCATTTGGTTCTTTTCCAAGGTCAATATCTGAATGCTTGGGCTGTATTTAACAGCATCCATAAGTAGTTAGATCATTTTAATTGCTGTGAACAGCATTGTTTCTCCATGCTGCCTCTCAGTCTGCATTCATCCCACAGCTCTGTTTTACATTGTAAACTCCCTAGACCAGGATGTTCAGTTTTGTGGTTTTCAGTGCCCAGCACCACAGAGTCCTTCCCCATGGTAATGTAATGCTACAGCACTACTACTACTAAATAATTATGATCATTTCTTTTGCTTCCATATCACAGGATTCCTCTCACCTATTCTGAGGATGCTCTGCTCTGATGATTGCTGTGAAGTCCAGTATTTAGCAGGATACAGTTTTCCAGTTTGCCCACTGCATAGTCTATTATTAATAGAGCACAGATTCAGCCCTCGTGTGCCTTTTGAGGCACAGCAAAGAGAGATGTCCTTTTCCTCCACTGTTACAGCATTGATGAGACCCTTCTGAAAATGATGTGTGAATAACGTCATTAAACAGCCTTGCAAGTGTGGGTGTGAAGGGTTTTGTGTGTGTGTGCTGTACATGTGGAGAAATTGTATCTTGCATGATAAAAATGAGGTATGAGCTGTGAGAAGAAACAGGAAAGAAACCTCAGAGAACTAGATGATTGTTGTAGGGACCTTCCAACTGAGTTATTCTGTTATATTCCAGAGTATTCTAAGCTTAGCTCACTTGCTCAGACTTACTCAACTCTTCTTCCAGACAAAAGGAGGTCCCAAAGCCAAAGTGTTTCTCCCTGTGTTTCAGGTAAATTCAGCAGGTGAAAGCCATATCCCTGTTGGGACTTTGTTGGATATCCATGTTGGGATATTCAGCAGATCTGCTGGTATAATCACATACTGAGTGAAGCCCTCTTTTGTAGATACTAAATTGGACTCCTGAATTGCAGTAGCTTCCCATCAGAGTTAATTAGTTGATCTAGTACTATTGCTTCTCATTCTGGTTTATTTTGCACTAAATTAGGCAATACTTGGATGCACTCCAGCGTGGCTCACCCAATATCTTGACCATATTCCCCTTGGTTCAACCATGTACCTCAACAAGTGGCAGGGGCTGGTTTGTCCAGCTTATCTGAGGAACAAAGATCTCACCTTTCTGAAGGAACTATTAATTGCACTTCAAAGGAAATAAAAGTTGAATTTAATGAATGTATACTTGACCTTCTGTACAGGATTTCCTATTGTATATTAACCATTTTTATTTCCCACAGTTTACTACCAGCTTTATGTAAAATTAGGTTCCTTTCTGGCCACAGGACATAACTTTGGGTCCATTTAAATGATGTAAATGATTTTTCTCTGCTGCATTCTTGCCTAAAGAATACATAAAATACCACACACCTACATGCTTACACCTGTCTGTGTGTTGGTTGTTAGGCTGCAGCAAAGGAAGCTGGCTCAGAAAGTCTGGGGGGCATTAAGGAGAAGAGGTGATTACAGCAGGCTGCTGAAAGAGTTCAAAGTGGCTGAGGTTTGACCGTGGTTCATTTTTCATGAACCACACTGGGAAACAAAATGCTAAATTGGAACAGTCCTGTGAAAAGTTTTCCTTTCAAAGCTAAGTCAAAAGTGAAATCATGCCTAAAAAATTAGGATTGGAGTATAAATTTCATCACTCCATTAATAGCAGCTGCAGATACGTCTTTGGGTGTTTCCTTAGGATTTTTTGAGCATAAACAGATTAAAGCTAGATTAAAAAAAATAAATCAAGACTTGACCTATAAACTCTGAAATGTCCTTAAATCAATGCATGTATTTTCCAGAGCTGAATGGTGTGATACAAGGTATCTACTGCTTCAAAGCTATTTTATGGGCTTGAAGCAGCTGTATGGGGTGATAGGAACAGGTTAAGCACCTCTATTTAAGTTTGCAAGGAGCTTTGACAGCTGGGCTTCGTGAGTGCAACCATGAAATTAGTTCTTGCCAGGGAAAACAAACCACAGACAGAGCCACTCATGCACCAGCTCGTCACAGTTTGCAAGGTTAGCTAAAGTTTATCAAAATCCCCAGACAAAAAATGTCATTAAGATACAGTTAAGTTTATAGACAGATACCAATTCCCAGGCAAGAAACTTCATTAAGGTACAGTCAAGGTTGTAAACATATGTGCCAATTAAATTCCAACAACAAGATCCAAACACTGTCATTATTTACAACATTAAATATTTGGAAATTAAAAGTTACTGCTAGAGATAATACAGCTTCTATAAAATTTTAACCATGTTTCAACAAACTGAACTTCTGCTGCTGTTCAGTATTACCTTACTTTCTATTTCTAGTTGTGATGCTTCCTGCCATGGGATAGTATGAAAGCTAAAAGTCTACAGGGGTTCAAAAAATTCTGTGCAGATTTGTGGAAGAAGCAGCCAGCTGTAGGTATTGAGAGCAAACACTGTTTATTCTGCTGTACCCTGAGCCACAAGTCCAGAAGACCTAGAGAATATTCTGAGGAGAATCTCTTTCGACTTGCCTTGTTCTTACAGATGTCCATAAAGATCAGATTGGCCACTTCTGAAGATGAGCTGTTAGGGTGGATTGTCCTTAGGTCTGAAGCAGTATTGCTGCCATCACAACATTCCCTGCAGTCACAGCCCCCCAGTGGACTCGTGTACAAAGAAGCTGTGGCAAGCAGTGCACTGGCCTAGAGAACACAGGATGCAAAACAAGTAATTAAAAGTGAAATCCTTGCAACTAAATTTCAGTTGAAGGGTTTAGAAGGGACACTCTGCCTTTTAAATGCAGTGTTAGAGCCCTGAGGTATTATTTAATTAGATTTTTCATGATAACATAGTTGTGAACATTGTCTTTTCTCTTTTAGCTTCAATAGTGATTGGGAAGTGGTGGTGTGAGATGGAGCCCTGCCTAGAAGGAGAGGAATGTAAAACGTTGCCTGATAATTCTGGATGGATGTGTGCGACTGGCAATAAAATCAAGACCACCAGAGTAAGTCATCTTTCCATCTATACCTGGGAAGTCTTAATAGGAAAGGGAGTCACTGATCATTGCTCACCTATATCTTTTCCATCATCCCCAGCCACCCGATGCTTCCGGCCATAAATCAGGGGAAATTCAGATGGATTCAGGTTAGCTGGGTCCAGGCTTGATAACGAGCAGGTTGGAGCTACTGAATCACCAGGTCACTTTCTGACAGACATTGTCACCTCAGAAAAAAAACTAGTGGACATCAGTGAGTCCCTTCCTGGTGGATAAAGGGCAGAATATTGTATCAAAGGGATCTGCTGGATCCTACATCTATTCCTTAGCTGTCCCAGGCCACATCTGTATTAGCAGCTGTGTGCTTTGTAGAAATGGGCTGAGGACTCAACTCACCATCTACATTTCAGGTCTTACTTCAGAGCAGCTCTAGCCACGTGCACCCATTAGTGACATACTCCTGAGATGCTGAATATTCAGGTGACACAGGCCATCAGGTGACAGCAAGAGAACCTTCCACCACTGCTAGGAAAGTGCAGAGCCACAGCTGCAAAGAGAGAGAGTGAGGGAGCTGGCCAGACTTCTCCCACTGGGAGATTACTTGGGGGAAAAAATACAAAGTGTTTTTTTCAAAAACAGAGTCCAGCTTTTCTTCTGCATTGTGCAATTGTTTCACAACCATTTTCTTAAAACTGCCACCTATACCTGTGTTCAACAATTTTAATTTCATTTGCATTATAAAAATAATTTTTTTTCCAAGAAAATTACATTTGTCAATTCAAATTTTTTTTTTTTAATAAATGAATAAATTTGGGGTTTCCCTGAAGTGCAAAGTAATTTTTGAAACCTGCAAAATGAAAAAAAGCAAATTTTCAAGAATCTTTGCCCTGTTTCTTAAGAAGTCCTACATATTCATGCCTAGCTAGCCATGCACAAGAATGCAAAGCTTAGTGTCATGATTTTTTTACTACTTTTTTTTACAGTCCTAACTCTAGTCATTTTTCATGTCTTCTAGGCCTTATGTTGAAGGAAGAGGTTTTACCCCAACTGCTCCCCATGCCATCTGAACTCTTTTTTTTCCCCTCTGTATGATTTACCCTAGCACGAATGATTTGTATTGCAACCCCAGTTTCTTGAACAGTGCCTTCTGGCATGTCTAATCTCACCACCACATTAAATTAGTAGGATGCATACTAATTGAGGAGGTTTTCTTTGCAGAAGGCAGTAAGTGGCTCCTGAAAACAGGGTGCATATTATCCCTTTGTCACCTCCCAGAGCAAAGGGTGGAGAGAACTGTGATTCCTTGACTAAAGTTCCTCCTACAGTGTCATTCTACAAACCACTCTATGCTCACAACTGAAACAAATGCCACTAATGCCCCTAATGAATTGTCCTTGCAGTGTCATTAAAATAAAAAACCAAAACCAAAACCCTAAACCTACTACATGACATTTTCACTGAGGCTACATTTTTCTCACTGAACTGGGGAATTAAAATGGTAGAAAGTGATATTAAAGAAATAATAAGCAATATAAAGCAGTATGTTATACTTTTGTTAAATTACAATGATTCAGTAATTCTGCAGTATGTCTGCAAATTATATCATTTAGGAATTGCATTTGCTTTTTTTTTTTTCTGTGAAATTGTCCTGCCCTTAACTCCCCCAATCCTCATCACATAAACTAGTCTTAGGCCATAGCCTGCATCTAGAAGTGATTGCTAGAAATTTAGCAGCTTCATTAATATGCAGATATATGGTCCAATCTATTCAGTATGCATTATTGTATTTCATTTAAATTAAATACTTACAGAGTGAGTGCTCATAACTGAAAAAATATTTCTTCATTTACCCACAGGAGTTATTTTAATTAGCTTGTGAGGGGAGTACCTTATGGTGCTGCTTCCAGTAGAATTTTGCTTTGTAGCTTTAAAATATCATTATGGAACCCAGTTGACAAAGGCAACTTGACATGATGTGCTTAGCAACTGTCTCTTGCATTTTCTAAGCAAAAAAATCTGCTTCATAATCCCTGAAACTTTGCTTGAATCTGCACTGCTGCACCAAGCCACAACATAAATATAAAATAATAGAAGCAATCAGATCCTGCAACAGGCATCTTTTTCTTTGTGTTGTCATTTCAGATGGCATCAGAGAAAGAGGTTACACTATAAACTGTACTGATCCCAATCCAGGCTGCAAGATTGGGCTGTGTGTCTGTAATTTATGTAGTTAAGGAGGTTAAGAAAGAAGAAACAAGACAAATCACTCAACATCTTAGATACATCTGTGGCAATGAGCCAAAAAGCTGGAGCAAGTCACCATAGGCTGTAAACTGGGAACTGCTCTAATGAAGTTTTTTCTTTACATTAAATACATTTAATTTAGGCAGCTGCTGTCCTGAGAAGCAAAACATTTGCATTTGTGACTCATAGGGTTAAAATACCTATTGGTACATTCTTCAAGGCCCACAGTAAATCACATATAAACATGTGTGTGTGTATATTTTTTTATATATATTTATATATATGAGAATACATCTGTGTGTGTGTATATATATATAGACAATATATGTAATTTCACAATGTCATTTATTACTTCATTGTTGGTTCTCCAATGTGATTAGTACTGATTAGTATCAGAAGAAGGTGGACAACAGATCCAGCAAAGGCTTTACCAGCACATCCTCCAGTCCTTCCTTCTGTTGCATTCATTCCCATGTGTAGTCCTTAGCATAGCTCACTAATTAAGTTGTTAAAGCCAAAGATGGAAAGCTCACAACCTCTGTAAATCAATTTGTTTTCTATTGACAGTAAGAGCAGGTGACAAACACTGGAAAGAAATCATTTTGTAATTCAATTTTTGGAGCCGTTTCAACATTTTTTTTTAATCCTTGTTCAGGTGTTGTTTGTTGTTTTGGGTTTGTTTTTTTTTTTTTTTAAGACCATAGGTTTCAATGCTTTCCTTAAAAATGTGGGGCCCTTGGAGCTGTGCTAGGACCTGGCTGGAGGTCACATCACTACATTTCAGCAGAGCTACTGGCACCAGGGGAGATGCAAGAGCACAGTCTCAGTCTGGATGCTGGGAGATGGTGCCTAAAAGGGCAAATAAATGCCTGTAAGAGCCAGAGCTGCTGAAAAACATGAAAATATGTCTCTTTGTGCATCCCACAGTTTGTCACTTCCCATCTGAGTGAAGGAGTCACTCACAAGTTCTTGACAGTGGATTGGAGTCTACACATGACTGTCTGTACACTGCTTTGCCAGCCCTTGAGGAGCACAGTGCTCTTCCCCTGGGATTTCTGCCCAGGCTCATGTGCACACTTGCAATGCAAAATGCCCTTTTTTATGCAATCCACACTAATAACACCTGGCATTCATGTACTAGCCCTCTAAATACTCCAACAAGCTGTTTTTCTGCTGATACTGTGGAGGATGGAAATTAAAGTGTTGAGCACTTGGGGACTGGCAGAGCAGCTCAGCTTGGAGCCTCTCTCCAGCTTCACAACCTACATCCTCCATTACAGCCCAGCCACCCCCCAGTTTCCAGAGTAACACTTAATTTACCACACATTTTGCCATCAGGGAAATACAGGCCAGTTTACAGTGCTCCCAGGGACCTGAGCATCACATTTTTTAGCAGCCAGTGCTCATGTGATGCTGCAGCAAATAGCACCTGAGGTGCCCATGGCCCCTTGGCACCGTTGTCATTCCCTGCTCCTACACTAACCACACCAATTCCTGAGGCAATGTACAAATGAGAATGGGATGGATTCACCCCCCAAGAAAGAACCCAGCAGGGTCACTTGTCAGTGGCAAAACAGGAGAGCAGAGAATGGCAACTGAGGAAAGGAAGGAAATGGTAAATGGACCCAGAGTTTTATTTTCTTCTTTTGAGCTGTCCAACTAGGTTAATATGTCAGATGACTTCCAGATGAAGTCTTTAGAGCAGTGAAGGAACCCCTCTATTTTTGTGATAACAGTCTCTGTAATTAAGAGGTCAGATCAAAGCAGTAGAGCACAAGACAGCAAATATCTCTTGCTATAAGACTTACTGCTGCATTTCATCATATCACCTAGTGGTTAGTTAATAATTTGTAGACCTGATTTAATGCCTGGGCCTGCTTGTATTCTAGTCAATTTGAGTTTCATTGCTGACCTAGTCATCTAGCAAAGGGCTGGACCCCTTGTGCCATTCATCTGTGTGTATCCATGTCAGAAAGAAACAAAAGGCTTTCCTCAAGAGAGATATTTTTGCTTCTGGTCAGTCATTCTTATTTCAGCTTCCAAAAAAAAAACCCCTCTGGGCAGTGGTGTTTCCTCTTCAAGCCATTAGTGCACTCACTGGGATCAGTTGTGGTGCTGCTCATAAAGAGTGATGGGTTTATGGTCTGTTGCAGGCCATGCTATCTCACCCAAGGTGAGCAGATTAAACTGGCCAGACTATTTCATAGACTTCCCAGTCTATTATACAGCTGGTCACACCTATTCTGCCCTTCTTTATGTAAGTGGGTTGGTGGGGTCCCAAATGAGCCTGAAAGGTGGATCCTTCTGCATATCCTGGTCTGTGAGGAGCTACTAGCATCACTCTGAGAAGGGGAGGGTGGAAGGCTGGGGTGAGCATGACCCCTGCCCAAAGCTGTGCTGGCATCTCCTGCACCACCAGCCCAGGTGAGAGAAGCACATCTGGGTTCTCCCAAAGCAGAGGCAGGAGCTTGCTTAGGGTCTACCCCTCACCCATCCTTGAATCCATGCAGTCCAAAGAGAAAAGACCCTCCCCAAAATACTGTGATTTAAATTCAGGTATATCATGAGCAGGGCAAACTGCCACGAAGCCCAGGTCTGTCTGTCCTCTCACAACATATTTTATCTCACTGACTCTTTGGCACTTCCTTCCTGCAGATCCACCCGAGGACCTAACAGAGCACCAGCTGCATGGAGACAGTGAAAGCCCTGCTGATTTATGAGGACAAAGTATGGAAAGTTTAAAACCATCTCAGCATTTACAAGCCAAATGGATTTCTTATTTGCACTTTGACTGTTTACCAGATAACAACAGTGGCTTTACTGTGTGAAAGAAAGTATTCGATGGAAATAATGCCCCTGATTTGTGACAGCTGAAAATACAAAAAAAAAGAAGAAAATGGTTCCTTTGGTAAAGTTTCCAAGATTGCAAAGTACAAACAACAGTAAAAGTTTGGATCTACAATTTACTTTATACCAGTTAAAGTATATATATAGAAATATATATATATTAATATATGATATTTTGAAATAAAAGCCTCACTCTTCAAGAATTTGAATAGTACCACACTTTGCTGCAGCTGCTGTAATTTTTTTTTGTTTTTTTCTTTTTTTTTGTAATGGTCTGGAAGATCCCTACCTGTTTCAGAGAGAAATGTGGCAGTGAAGAGGCAAAGCAAACCTGCTGCAGTACAAGGACGCCTAAGAGCTACACGGATCCTACCGATGTGGCATCCAGAGCTTCCTGTTCCCTTCAGCAGAATTTTGAGGGCATTTTTTGTTCCACTTTGTGTTCTGGAAGCTTTTCCCCTTGTGCAATACTAGCATGCTGGCTTTGCTTCATTAACCATACTTGATTGATATATAACAATGATAATTCTATCCTCTTCCAAGAAAATATTTTTAGAGCTGTTAGATATTCCGTGAAGAAGAGATGGACAACTACTGAGTGAAGTACAGTATGTATTAAAAGTTTATTTGGCAGAATTTGGTAGACTGTGAGCTCCCTTCTTATTAAAGATGTACTGTACATACAATGTCTTCAGACTTTGTATAGCTCGTAGAGACTGCAGTAAAAACCCAGTACCCAACTCCAAAGCTTTGCCTTGTTGGCTCACTAGTTCTTTGAAACAACAACAAAGCTATTTCTTTCCAGACCATCATGCGAGGGGGCTTTTACATGTGGTTTGGTTTCTTAAATGAGGTGAACAAGCATCTCAAGCCTAAGCAAATGCCTCTAAGCAATGTCCACAGAGACATTGACCTGCTCGCTGAGAGGGGCTGGAATTCACACTTCCAGCTAAGCTGCTGCTGTTCACCGTGCAGCCTGGCCCTTACATTGCTGAAGAAAGATCAGATCTGAGCTCTGGAAATGTGCAAGCCTAGTTCACATTCTCAGGCACTTTTGTGAGCAGTCCAATTAATTTCAGGGGGTTTATTCGTGTGGAAAAGTATCTTGCTGTCACGTCTAAGTCTGCTCAATCTACCCTTCAGGACGCCCAACGCTATTAAATCAAGGAGGAATAGGGAATTGTAAAACTTGTTCCAGCCAGCCCAGCTTCATTTCTTTAATATTTTCAATTTCCTTTCAGCCTGCTTACCTGTCTCTCACAGGACCCCTTTGGCCATGCTGATCACTTTTAATCCAGTGCAGAGGAAGTGCTGCATTTTCCAACCTAGAGTTGGTCAAAATTCTCCAACTAACCTTCTTTCTCCTTCGGGGCAACCACTTCAATCCCTGATGCTTCAAGAGGCAGAAGTTTGTCACTGTAATTATACTGTATATTAAAGCAGCTACATGATGTGTCACGCCATACTCCATGCTGGCTTTCCATGCTGGTCCTTGCCTGATGCTCACAGTGGAGATGAATATGCTGCTTCCAAGTACTTCTATTATTTCCCCTTCATAAAGATAAAAGAGTGAAAAGTGTCCAGGGAAGAAACTTGGTTTTCTTCTGTGCACAGAAAAATGATTTTTTAAATAAGGGCATGAGCCTCACTGCCAGTTGTAGGTCCTAGCACAGGGAGACCAGCCTCAGAGGTGGCCCAGCTGGCCAGGCTGGCCACAACCACCTGCCTAAGCCACAGAAGATACCTGGACCTTAGTCTGTTTTTTTAGATATGGTCTGCCATGGCTGTGTGTCCCTAGTCCCATCATCTCAATTTGGAGTGGATCTCTGCCTGCCTGGTTACCCACAGACAGGTGTGGGCCCAAAATGAGATCATCAAACCAGCTCCAGGCTCACCTGCCAAAAGTAAGGAGAAATAAATCCTTAGCATTTCTTAATTTTACTGGAAGAGCACTTTGAAAACCCCAGGACCCTCTAGAGCTAGGAAGCCTTTGGAGCCATAGGAGATATTTGGAGCACTGCCACCAAGAGATAGGATGATTAAAAGCCAGGACATGTCATCATCCCTTTACCAGTAGGAACTGAGGCACACAAAATTAAATGGCCACTCAAAATCACATTGGAGGGCTATGGAAATTTGATCAAAAAGTGAACTTTGGTTTCATTATTCCCAATCTAGTGATAATCTGTAAAATGACCCAAACACAGCAAACTAACCTGGGGCCTCTTGTACCCTTTGCCAAAGCCCAAGGTGTCACCACTGAAAGGTACTTACCCCACAGAGCTCAGACTGTGAGTAGATAACAATGCTTATGCCTGTGTCTGTGAAATATGCCTGTTGAGATTGGGAAATATTAGACTTGCTAAAATGTAAGAAGGAAATGTTGTCATTACCACAGCAAAATTTCCTAGAGATGTTTATGAATTTTTCTTTGCCAGTAGGCAGCCTCAACTATCACCACACCAAATTCAGTAAATACCCACGTCTCTTTGAAGTTGCTGCAAAAATCTGCTCACAAAAAGTGCAGCACTGAGAAATTGCTGTTTTAATTAAAATGTTTTAGAGGGGAATTAAGGCCTTTGCAAAAATAATGACAATAAAACATGAAGTCAAATTAAGAGCCGGATGCAGCTAGCCTTCATTGTTTCAGTGAACCAAATTGAAAACAATAATAATAAAAAAATTCAACCAGCCTGGAGTCACAATGATGATGTATTTCAGTGCCATGCACAGTGTGTAGTGGGAAGATGTCAGAGCTGCTTACCCTGGAAACCCAATGAGTTTCATTGGTGGAGCAAATGGGTCTCCCATCCTCATGAGAAAGTGAGAATCATGCCATTCTCTGCACAAAGCTAAAAGGTATTTACATCAACAGGAGAGAAAGTTAAAGTTCCTGCTTTCTGGCAGAAGTCTAGACAGAGACATGTCAGGAAAAAAAAAAAAAAAAAGAAAAAATATTTGTAAATGCATCAAAGATAAATTTAGATTTATGTCAGTGTTTTTTCTTCAGATGTGTGAAACCAAGTTATGTAAATCTAAAATGTACAAGTTGGAAAAACTACTAAAAAAAAAAAAGTAGTAGCTTCCATCTGCCTATTGATTCAGAAAATCTAGATTATGTGCTTCTGTCCAAAAATCTCTGGTAATAAAGAGCTCAGTGTGGTATGGCTGGGTATTGCTTTGAATATGCTACATGCAATATTGGAAGAAAAAAGACCCATGGAGAATGTCCACTCTGGTGGCCAGCAGTTATGAACCACATGATGTGCACCCAAACTTGGCGTTACACAGAGAAAGGACCATGAAAAATTACTGAAGGTAAAATATTTTATGGTGAGTGGTGCTCTTAAAAAAACTTTGAACAGAGTCTGCAGATACTTTCAGTGCTGTATTGCTTGTATGTTGTCCTGTTGTAAAATCATTAGTTCTCCTCCTAACTCTCCTCACTTGCCACTTCTCTCTTTCACTGTATGGTCCAAATATAATCCCAGATCACAGAGAAGTTGTGGAGGAGATAAACCTACCTTGGCTTGGAGAGCACATCCATTTCATCTGAAGGTGGCATTCTTTGTTTCTCCTTCAGTGGCAGGATGAATATTGTGGCCTGCAATGAGCTTCTCATTTCCCAATACCTCAGTCACATCCCAGTAAGCAGGGTTTAGAGCTTGCCTGACAAAGAAATGAGTCATGCTGCTTTGCTTGATATTCTGTTTTTTGTCAGAGAAAAATAGAAACACATTCCACAAATAATCTTTCAGGTAGACAGAAGGAGATGTGTGTACAGGACACTTGGTTTAAGGCTGTCGACACTTTTTCTACTTCACTGGCTTGAATTCAGATCATAGGCCTGACACATATTTATGGTTTCTTCTCTGACATGCTCACACAGTCAAAACACTTAATTTCACAGATATTTATACTTTATAAAACTATGCTGCTCTGAGGAAAAGAAACTGGATCTTCTGCTTTGCAGGTAGGAAAAAAAGAGTCCCAAGGCTTGAGACCTACCCAAGGTTATGGTAAAGAACTGCAGTACAGCCAGCAGTGGAACTGTGGACTCCTGGATTTTAGGTCATCATTGCAGATGGTTCATCTATGGTTCACATCAGTGGAATTTTGCCTTCAGCAGAGCCTGGCTTTTAGCTTGAGTCACAGAGAGCAGAGTGAGGGTGTCTGCAGTCAAGTGTGGACAATCATCTGCAGGCACCAACTGCTCAGAGCTTGTTCACCTCCCTTCTGCTGGGATTTTCAAACCATTAATGCATGGAAGACCACCACTAGACCTACTCCAGCATCTGCTCCCACATGGACACAGTCCTGCCCTATTTTGCTTTCATAGCTTCTTAGTAGAAGCTGCTTTGAGCCTTTCAGATCAGACCAGAGCTGGGAAAAGGCACAGAAATGGCTGTGCTTAACTCTGGTGGGCTGAGAAGGAGGTACAGCCAACAGCCCTTCACTTGGAGGTCACTGTTTCTCAGAGATGCCCATCTGATAGAATGATTTTCATGTAAAAATTGACTTTGAGCAAAGAAAGCACGTATTCCCTTACACCAGAAAGTGCCTGAACCAGCCAACAAGAAGCACAAATAACTTGTTCTCAACTGAAAAACTGAAGCACCACTGCCAGGGGAGAGGATGATACACAAAGTAATTAAGTCATGGGGGGAAAAGAAAAATAAATTGACAAATAGTCATCTATGGGCACACTTGGCAAATCTTGGGGGAAAAAAAAACAACTTTTGATGCTGCTTGACAAGTATCTCTGGTTCCTGAGTGCAGCTCAGAAACGTACATAGGTCTTTCCTACATGACAGACCTGGGTATAACTTGTTTTCATCCAAAACTCATTGTCAGATAATTTTTGTTTTCCCACCACACATCAATATGGTTAAATTTGTATGACCAGAAGCAATATACATTTGAGCATCAGGTTATGGACTCAGTTCCCACTATTTCTCATGTGCTTTCTTTGTCAGATGATTGTCCTTGATTTGTTAGAGATGGGGACTAGAGGCCCACCTAGATTTGAAGCCAACTACCCATAACCTAAAATATAGCTCAGGGGAACATGCAATTTCTTCCTCCTACCTGCCATTCCTCTTCATTTCCTATTTCATTTCATTTTCATTTCATCTCACCCCCTCTCTTTCACACTACTTAATTATATTCATCCATCTCCATTAGTCTTTTATCACCACCACTGCCCCACAGACTGAAGAAAAGCAGCTGTGCTGTCAAGAGCCAATTCAGGGAGCTGCTCCCCTCAAACAGCAGTGATTTATGGAATCTTTTTTTTCTTTTCCTTTTTCCTGTGTCCTTTGGCAGGTGAGATCCTGACCTCGCTGCAGCTGCTGTGCCAGCAGCTCCCCATATTTTGCAGCCCCCATCAGCAATCCCCAGCTCAGGGCCAGGAGGTCCATCTCAGGTGTGCCCTAGTGTACAAAGCAGATGCTACTGACACTTGATTTGCAGCAGAAGAGTTAATTGTCAGCTTCTCACCTTCAATGAACCTCTTTTGTTTGCTGCTTCTCCTGCAGTTTTGTGCACCTTGACCAGAACCAAGAACTCTGCACACTGGCTATTGTGGGTTTGCAATCAGTTTATTCCTCTGGAAGAGGAAAATTTATCACCATTGATTTGATCAGACCTTTCTTGGACTTGAAATAGAGAGCAAAGTAGAGGC